TAATTTTCTTGGACTATAAACACTTACAGATAGAGACTGTATCTATTTCTATTTGCATAGCACCTTCCCTCTCTCACATCTCACCCAATCATTGTCATCTTAATATTTTCTCCTTCTCCCTTGAGATTTAAGGTTTTTTAGTAAGTCCTTAGTACCTAGCACAATGGCACTCTAATCACTGATGTATATACTACATTTGAGGGGGCCCAGTCTAAAACTACTTTAAAATATTTTTTATTTGTATTAAGTTTTACATGCACTTTAGGAGGCATAGTAAGGGACCTGGGTGCCATTGTGCTAGGCACAGTACAAATATAGTGAGAGAAAGTCCCTGCCCAAAGAATTTACCATCTTAGTAGACACAACAAAGCGAAACAGAAATGAAGCATTAGCCCCATTGTACAGATAAAGAATGGAGGCAAAGATTAAGCAGCGTGCTTAAGGTCACACACAAAGCCAGGAACTGAGCCTAGATTTTCCCAAGACCCAGTCTAATACCTTCATTTTAAAGCCAGCCTACCTCTTTCAAAACCAAAAGAAAATTATTATTTCGGAGGAAGATAAACAATAAATCACACTAATACAATAAACTACTCAAGATACAATGTAACAAGTCAGGGGACCTTGCCTTGCCTAAATTTAGCTGGATACAAACAGTAACCTCAGGTACCAGGGCTGATATATCACTATGTACTGTATCTTGTACCATCAGATAATCAGCTGTTTACAAACTACTCTGGAATATCTGATATCAGAAGTTGGGTCAGTAAGTTTATTTAGTTATTCTGAAAATAAAAAAGAGCTTCAGGATCAAAAGTGAAGGTTAACTTACCTGAAGCTGAAGAGTATGACGGAGAATTGTTTCCTCTAAAGCATGAATCCACTTCTCTCTCTCATCAGCATCTCGAGCTGCAAAAAAATATTCAATGTTTTCTTAAAATCTTTGACATTTTTTCAAGGCTTTTAGACTGAAAACCATGTTGTGTGTCCAGACTAAAACTTTTGAATTAAACCACACACACCACCTACAATGGTTATCTAGAAGAAAATTCAACAGCAAGTGGACTCTGATTTCAATTTAGGAGTGGCTTACTTTGGTTTATGTTAAACTGATTAATTGACATTTTGATTTAGTTCTAGAGTAGCCACAGCTTTTTACATGAGTTTAAGATGGTTTAAAAATCACAACTTTAGTTAACTGAGTGCAAGTTTCGCATGTAGACAAGGCTGCAACGAAGAACCTGTACACACTTTTGCTTAATAAGATGCTTAGCTTCTCACTTCTATAAATTACATTGTACCAGCTATAGAGAATACACCAGGCTTTCTGTTAAAATCTCAGCTCTTCAGGGTTTATAGTTTAGCTGTAAAAAAAATCACTCCAGATTCAGATTAGCATATGTCATGTCAACATTGGTGCTATTTATGGAGAGTTAAATGGGGAGATTTTGAAAAATTGCCATTACACGATTTAGCAGCTGTTCTTTCAGAGATGTTTTCTATTCTGATCAAGATATTTTAAAATAACTATATTCTTGCATAACATGTTTCTTGATCAGAAGGTGCACTTACCTATGCCTGTCAAATCAGTAGCATGTGATGAATTTTTAAAAGGTCTAATCTTCTAGAGCCTTTGACAAATACTATTTAAAACAATGCCTCTGCTCTACCATTTTCTAGGGAACAAGGTAAACATATGCCTTTTATTACAGATTATTTACATGAGAACAGGATCTTTAGTGTTTGAGTGCATCAGCTCCCATGAACATTAATTCCATTTAATGGAATTAGTTAAATATGACACATCCTAATCATTTCCACAGCAGCTATACATGATATCACAAAGCAATACGGTGCCTGGTGAGAAATAAGCACAGGAGCCAATTATCTCAAGAAAAGAAGGGTTTTTTTCCATGTAAAATACATTACAATAAAAAAATGTAGAAACAGAAAATCTATGACATCAGCATACTTGTATCTGCACAGAAAATATTTTTCAAAATTTTCTGAGTCACCAGAGGTTCCAACCTGTAACAAATTACTCCTAATTTTACTTCATTATAGATGTATCATAACAGACAAATAAAGAGAACCTGATCTCTTTTTCAATACCTTTCAATTTTAAAATAAAACAAACAATTATAATATTTATTAAGACAATCCTGTGTAAAAAAAAATTTCTATAGAACCAGGACTCATACACTAGCAAGAATATGCACAAGATGGTCCACCTATTCCTGTATCACACAGCTATAAAATTTCCATTGAGAAGCAGAAACTAGGGTCAGGTGAAGATAAGTCATCTCGCAGGCGATGGTGATCAAGGAGGGACGATATGAAATGCAAAATGATACGGCAGGGCTTTGCAGGCAGGAAAGAGATCCAGAAGGTTATCACTACCCTTTTCTTTACCCACTTTCTAACACGCTGTGTTTTTTCCAGTACAAAAGCTTCACTGTACTTTGCTAGCCTGAAAGAGTTCCTTGCTGGGGGGCATGGATAAGTGTTCACATCACTCTCCCCATCAGTATCCAAGCAAGCTAATTATCCAACCAATGGACCAAATTCCATGATGAATCCTGGTCATGTGCCACCTGAGGTGCATTGTGCATACGCTAAGAAGTTATTTGTTGTGGTGGAATATTGCAGCAATGGTACGGGAAGTGACAAGGGCATTAGAAACTGGGTGAAGAAAAAAGGGTGATAGCAACTGGAGGCATTTAGCGAATTTGAGGGAGAAGAAGAGGAAGGAACACTGACTTCATGCCAATAACTACTCCCAGTTGTTTCTAGTTCCTCATTCAATAACACAAATAGTGCATATGTTGTATAAGACTACTTGAGGGAGTTTCCTGATTACCAGGGAACAATCAAAGTGGACTAATTATACAAAAATGTTAGTTTTCAAAGTTTGATCATGTATGGTATGCTTATTACTCAACTCAAAGAGTATACTGAAATGTATTCTCCATCTCCACCCATCCTCTCATTGTTTATATCCCTCTGACCTCTGTATCCACATGCCCACAACATGGCTGCTTCAACTTCCCATCTTAAAAAAAAAAACCACCAAGATTTGTAAGGGAGGAGTAGTGGAAGATGTTGGGGAGCAAGGTTTATTCATCCTATTCCATACAAACTGTATAAAGGAGTGCTTCCTTTGTCAAATATAAATTTTATTTAACATCAAAATTTAGAGAGGAGACGAGATGGGGTTGAGATATCAGAATTTGGATGCGTTGAATTCTGAGGCCCTCAGCTAGTCAGTATAGAGATTTGCATGCTGCATTGTTACTAAAACAGTCATCATGCTAATCAACACACAACCACCCCTAGCCAAAGTGCAGGAAATTGCATAATTGAGAAATAAATGTACAGCATGTTGTCTTTTTAAATCAGAGTTTGTATAGTGTCTAGCACAATGATAAGTTGAAAGTTGCAGAGCAAAAGCAACAATAATAGATTCAGAGTTAAATAGAAATTTGAAGTTCAATTTCGGTTTAAAAACTGGCTAATTACTGCACCTGCCTCTCTACTCCCTATCGACCTGTGTGGTATTAATCACATTTTCCTATTTTTAAGAAGTTTCTCTCCTCTGTTACTTTGTTATGGACCTCACAGGGGAAACTAACTATAAAGTACTGTCAAATGCATAAAGTACACACGTTTTTACAGTAATACTAGGTGTTATTTGCAACAATAGTAGGTAAATAAAATTCCTACAGGAATAACGTTTAAGTAGAGTGGATGAACTTTTTTGCTCTCTATACAACGCTCTGGAAAGCACAATAAATACAAATGTTAATGTATAGGGAGGGCAGGCTAGTAGGGCTCTAGATACCTTAAAAAAACCCAAAAAGGACTAGACAAACTATTAGTCCATCAACAATAGATTGGTTAAGTTCTTGCCTCTTCATCCACAGTCACCCTTTAAGGAGTCTAATTAAGTGAAAAGAGAGGGTATTCAGAATACAACAGCACAGTATTTGAATGTTTCAGAAGCTGTAACTTTCTAGTTTTCTCTTTCTAATTGAAATTCTTAGGTGTTTTAGACACACTACAATTATACATTTGCTTAATAAGCTAAAGCTTACAGAACTGGGGCAGCAACAGCTCAGGCACACAGTTTCAATACATCCGTATGAACAGCAACGGGTATCCTGAAAAAGGTTCTAATGTTATTTTGTTTCTGTCCTTCAAAGGCAATCCTAGTCATTCTATACTTGGGTTTGATCATCAGATGCAATACAAAAATACTAATATATTTGAGTAGATAACTGAAGCTCTGTCACTAGATTAATTTAGAGAAAACAACTGAAAATGTACAATAAATAAAACTTCTGCAGACAGCAGCAGAGTGAATTGGATGTCCAAACAGATCATTTCCACCTTTAGTATCAATGACTTCTAAAAAGTTCTCAAGAGCTGTTACACTATTATATGGTGATGGGAGCATATAAATACCTAGACAGAGGTGCTTGCATGTCAGATTCTGAAATTAAGTGCTCAAAGGTTATTTCAGCTACCAAAAAAGGAATTTAAAGACGGTAACTTCAACAGGCTACCAGAAAGATAAGAGCACAGTTTGCTAAGGCTCATAGGACTACTATGATAATTGTATGGGTCAGCTTGTAGTTTATTGATATAGCTGTCTTCTTTGTTTACCAACTGTTTTAGTGGTTTGGGTAGGCTGACCATCAGCATCAGGTGAGCAGAATGAAAAAAAAATTAGGTGAATGAAAGAAGTACTATTTTCTTCCCCCAATTCTAGCATTACATCCCCCTCCGAAAGTTCCTTCCTCAAATGTCTCCCCTCTCTCTT